AATAACTTGAGAAGCTGTAATTCATTAAATTTAAAACTTCCGTCCATTGAAAACTGCTAAGAGAATGAAAAGACAAGCCCCAACATGCAAGAAAATATTTGCAAATGACACATCTTATAAGGAAATAGTATGCATAATATGTAAAGAACTTATAAAAATCAATAATAAGAAACAACTTTAAAAATGTGCAAAAGTTCTGAACAGACAACTCACCAAATGAAATTTACAGATGGCAAGTAAACACATGACAAGATATTCAACATCATTATCATTAGTCATTGAAAGTTAAAGGAAAGTTGCTCAATCGTGTCCGACTCAATCGTGTCCGACTCTTTGCAACCCTATGGCCTATATAGTTCATAGAATTCGCCAGGCCAGAATACTGGAGTGGGTAGCCTTTCCCTTCTCCAAGGGATCTTCCCAATCTAGGTATCAAACCCAGGTCTCCCGCATTCCATGCAGATTCTGAGCACGGGAGAACTGATGCCTTCAAACCATGGTGCTGGACAAGACTCTTTGAAGAGTCCCTGGGACAGCAAGGAGATGAAATCAAGTCAATCCGAAAGGAAATCAACTCTGAATATTCACTGGAAGGACTGATGCTGAAGCTGAAGCTCCAATACTTTGGCCACCTGATTGGAAGAGCTGATTCATTGGAAAAGACCCTGATATTGGGAGAGATTGGAGGTAGGAGGAGAAATGGATGGCAGAGGATGAGATGGTTGGATGACATCACCAACTCAATGGACACGAATTTGAGCAAACTCCAGGAGATGGTGAAAGACAGGGCAGCCTGAATATGCTGCAGTCCATGGAGTTGCAAAGAGTTGGACGCAACTAAACAACAACAAGGAACTTTTGAGAGTGACTAACATTTTTAGGATCTTGACTGTGATGATAGTTTAAGAGGCGCATATATACATCAAAACTTTTTAAATTGTAGTATACTGCATGTCAATTATACCTCAATTAAGCTCTTAAAAATAATTTTTTAGAAAAAAATTTCAACTCTAATTATTCATTTTCAAAGTGCTACAAAGGAAAAACAGTGCTATAAGAGTATATGAGGGGTCATGTAGTCTGAAGAATTAGAAAAGCTTCCTTCAGACACTAGGATATGCTAAAATTTGATACTAAGGATGCTTAGTAATCAGTCAAGCAAAGACCATGCAGGAAAGAGGGCTCAGAGAGATGTAACAGTATGTGTGAAATGCCCTGAGTCCAAAAGCAATGTGACACTTTGAAGGCACTTTAAAAGGCAGGGAAGCTGGAAGAGTGAGTCAGTCATCTGCTAAAGGAACCAAATTATGCAGACACATGGTCTTCAAAACCATGCTACTTCAAGTAACTTATCAGTTGGGGATCTCAGAAACACTCAATTTAAATTATTATAAAATTCCATTGTGTGATTTTCATGTTTAATAACATGAAAAGAACCCATGCATATAAATTACATATTAGAATCTTAGTTTGAAATAAAGACTTGGGGACAGGGAGCATTCAATTTAAACATCATAGTTACTGAGAGCTTCCCTATTATTATTAAAAAGGATTCCAAATGATATATGTGTATATACACACATATGTTGGGGGGTTTTAGTAGTAACTTAGGAAAAATATTTACACATTTAACCCTACTGCTTTCTATTTACAACAGCAACCTCACTCCTGGTAGTATATTTTCATTTTGCTGTTAAAATAGAAATAGATTACTTCTATTATAAACATGTGAAATTCATCATCCATATTTGACTGATCAAAGAGGTTTAAAAAAAATCTGCATACATTAAACATACAGTAAGATTTAACAGATGATTAGAGGAATACTCAATAAATGTATTTTAATAATAAATTTAAATTTATAAAATATTTAGAAAATAATGAGGTATTTTCCAATCTCAGAACATTAATCTCAGCTATTTTCTTTACCTAAGAGAAATGAGAAGTCTTAGGTTCCTAAGTCATATAAGCAAAAAAATGTCCAAGTATGAATGCAAATTGTAAGTTTATATAAACATAAATCTCAACTACTCTACAAAAATAATTCTAAAGACCTAGCTTATAACAGTGTTATTCATTCAAATAGAGTTTGTAGCAAAATGCTTTCCAGCCTAATGTTATACTATGCTGCCCAAGTAAATGTAATTTAAATTTGCATATATTTCATATATCATATCCTTGATTATTGTATTTCAAATTGGCACTGTCCTTTCTGATTCTCAGTCCTAAGTCTTTCAATCTAACTTTGGCTAAAGATCGGTGTTCATTCTGTTTTACCTAGGTGAAGAATGGCCTATAATCTGAGAGTTTTATTCTCTTCAAATGGAAGCAGAAGGCTGAAATCAATCCTAAGAGAACTGAAGCACCACTTTTGATACCATATTTGCTGCTGCATTTCTCCCCCCAACCATCAATCTTCCCTTCTAAAAAAGCATTTGAAGAATACTCATTCCCTAGTGAAATCCCTACACTAGAAAAAAAGAGCTAAGTTACCATGGAACCAGCCAATTAATTTTGACATCTGCTTACGAAGATTGATCATTTTTGATGTCTGTGTGTAAGGTTGCTATCCTTCAGTTGAGTAAAAGATTTTCAAGATAATTAATGGCGTGAGAATTTCCAGTTAAAAGTCTTTCCCACTGTGTTATTATTTCAAATATTGGATAAAACAAGCCAACATTCTTAAAGAAACCTTTCTTAGCTTAGCAGGCACTTTACCTGGAAGAAATCTTTTCTTCTAAACTGATTCGTCCCTTTAACATTAAATACTTCTTTACCCTAAGAGTATATATAACAAAACACAAAGAGTTGTACCAGTTATATTTACTCTAATTAATAGCTGGTACTCCACAGAGAATGAAAAAGTACTTACTAATAGAGTACAATGAATCATAGGAAATAGGTTCCAAGGAAATGAATATTCAATGATTAGTCCAGGGTTTATTGTTATTTAACTACATCTATATTTTAAAAAACTATTCCTCTTTTACTCACTAATGTATTGTTTATGAACAGCAACCATCTCTCTATATTATTTAAGCCGGTTTTAACTCGATCTGTGACCTTTCCTACTAACTGGGACAACATCTGCTAGTGAGGTTACAGGCTGCTGATCTAGCTGATTAACAATTCCACTTCTATACAATGTAGACAGAGGCTTCTCAGGACTGCAGCAATTTTTGTCCTCTTTAGACAAACAGAGCAATTCCAACCAAACGCCAATGTCCCTAAATTACATATGAATCAGGCAATCTTTCTCTTTATATAAAAATGGATATAAAAAATATATGTGGCTTTTTTTATTACTGACTACCACTTTCTATGTTCAAAATCCTCTCTTGCCAGGTGAAGAGGCTGGGCTGGCTGTTTTGTTCAAAGCAAAAGTTTAAGAACACTTAAGTAAAAAAAGATTACTAATAAGCACAGTTCAAAACAGTATTTTTGTGGGTCTGGAAACATTTTTTAAAACTTTTAATTAGTAACTCTACTAAATTTTTTAAAGTATTTTTTTTTCCATCTAAATTTTTTAAAGTATTTTAAAAAACAAGAGTATTACACTAATTTGTGAAATTACGAAGCTAGGAAACATTTCAACTTACTCCTACAAAAGAATTTCATAAAACTTCATTCTGAGATTTCACTTCCAAAATCTTGCTGTAAATTAAACTTGCTGTAAGATCTACTTAAATTAAAAGGTCCCCTTTTAAAAAATACATTTTTACAATAAGATTTCAGGGACTTGTCTTAACTGGCAAGTTTTAAAAAAAGGAAAATATTTTGTTTAAAACTCCCAGGAAATTTTCTTTTGATACATAAGTAAGGTGAACCATAGGCTTCCCTTGTGGCTCAGCAGTAAAGAACACATCTGCCAATGCAGGAGGCACAGGTTTGATCCCTGGGTCGGGAGGATCCCCTGGAGAAAGAAATGGCAACCCACTCTAGTATTCCTGCCTAGGAAAGCTCATGGAAAGAGGAACCTGGTGGAATATACAGTTCATGGGTTTGCAGAGTCTGGTCACGATTTGGCAACTAAAGAACAACAAATGTGAACCATATTCTCATCTTTGCCTTAGAACTCAAGAGACACTCCACTTAGATCTGGCTATCACTGTGACAGTAAGTAACCCACAGAATGCAATTTCTGAGCCACTAACCCAGCCAGCAAACTTGATCTGAACTATCTGGATGACACAGAAGTTGACTTTCTTAAGGACTGTTCTGCACAAGTTGTCTGATGGATACCCTACTGGTCTCAAGTATTTTATCTGCTGCTGCCCCACACTCATCCATTTCTTTTCATACCAGGCAGCGACGCAATACACATGAACCAATAGGGGACAAGTATCTTTACTGTTGTAAAGCAAGCTCCTTAGGGCCTTAAGCTTCTGAAAAACCCAAGTGATGCTTCCACACAGTAGCTGATAGTCAAATAACCAGTTAGGAATAGCTATTATCTCCACCACATTATAAAGTCCAGGTATTTCATCCCTTTATCTAACTCAAAGTCACTCTGTATTTCTCAATTCAAGATGCTCTTCGCACAATTCAGCACAGTAGTACTGGCTAAAAGTAAACGTTCTAGAGTTAGGCTGGCTGATTTGGATCACAACTCTGCCATCAGTACTGTGTAATCTTGGGCAAATTACTTAAACTCATTACCACGATTTCTCTCTGTAAAACCAGTATAGGAATCCTAGTAACTCAGAGTTACTAGGAACTCTTTGAGGAACAAATGAGGCACTCAGAACAAGGTCTGGCACATAGTAAGGTCATCATAATTCTACTTATGATCACTGTTACTAAATACACTAACAAGTTAGCAGTGGTTACCTCTAGAGAAGGGAGTAGGCTGGGGAAGACGGAGATACCGACAGACCAGAACTTTTAACCTTTACACTTCTGCACTGTTTGAACGCTTCACAATGCGCAAGTATTTCATGACTTACGTGCCTCATTTTTTATTAAAAAATAGTGTCCGCTAACAAAATGGTGTTTGGCACCGTAACTGAGTGCGGAATTTTTGACGATCAGGGAAAAAGACGGGCAGCGGACAGGTGGACCACCCGGAGAGGCTTCGCGTCCACGGCGGTCGGTGCCGGGCGCTTGGCGCAGGGTCGGGATCTCCAAGGCACGGGGCCCGGCGGAAGGCAGCGCTGGGGGCCGCTCCCAGCCCGGGGACCCCGGACCGAGAAGGGACGGGGGTGGGGGAGAGGCTGCGGGGCAAGGCTGAGGTTCGGGGTCCGGCGAAGGCACTTACTTGAACCTGCCCTGGCAGTGCTGGCACTGGTCGCCCACCCAACCCGGGTCGCAGAGGCAGGTGGAGTTGACACAGCGGCCCGAGAAGCAGGAGCCGGTCCTTTCGCAGGGTTTCGACTGGGACACCTGCGCGTAGAGCGCCAGGTAGAGAAGGCCATAGCACAGCAGCCCGCTGTTCCCGTCCAGCAGCCAGAAGGAGGCGCCCCCGCCGCCGCCGCCGCCAGCCGGCCGAGCCCTCCACGACCCCGGGGCCGCCGGCTGCGGGGGGCCAGTGCGGGCCCGGCCCCCCGGCTCCATCTTCCCCAGCACCCCGGGCCGGCGGGGCTGCGCTCGCGGGCGCCGACAAGGATGCTCCAGAGGGGAAACCCGGCCGGAGAGGAAAACACCGAGCGTCCGC